GCCCGGTCCCCAGAGAAAAGCTGCATTGAAGAGTTCGACACAAGGATTTCATGGTTCAAGTTGCCAGAAGGGTTTGGAGATTGGGTATCCTGCCTCCGCTCCATCACTGCGGGACAAATAGAGTGGACACAGGGTTGGCTTCCTGTTGAAGAAATTGTGTATATGCCCGCCATCGGTCCTTACTTCCTCCTAATGGGTCTTCAAGGCATTCAACCTTACGCTCCATACCGGGTGATGAGACAGTTGGGAAGGTGCCAGGTGACGCACTCAGATGAAGATCTTAGTGTTTATGCGGTCGAGGTTAGCTCCGACGGCCAATTTCATGAAGAAACAGTTCGTTCTATTTGGAACGAGTGCCAGTATTTGACAGCGAACACTCGAGTGCGTGACCTATCTAGAGGCGAGGTCTCACCCGCCTATCTTGCCTGGTATAGAAAGAAGAACACTGCAAGGGCCGAACCTGAAAGACCAGCCAAAAAGCCTCATATTCAGGAATTCGTCGAGGCGTCGCAAGAACAGTGGGCTTGGTTGGCCAAGGAGAATGAGTACAGGGCTACGATAGGAAAGCTGGAAAAGCAAGTCAAGGACCTTCAATTCGAGAATGGTTTGCAAGCCGCGGCGGATGAGGGTGAAAAGAAAAGGCTAGCCAAAGAAAATGAGGCCCTTCGAGCCCAGAGTCGAGAAATGAAAATAGCAGCTGAAAATCCCGCCAGAAGTGCAAAGGATGAAAAGCTTATAAAGAACCATAGGCAGAAGGTGGGTGAGTACGGTTTTTATTTGAACAAAGCAGAGGGCGAACTAGCCAGGGCTCGAACAAAATTGGCTAAGACTGCGGAGGAACAAGCTCGCCTGGTTAAACAGTTAAAAGAGAAATACGACAATGAGGTTGCGGGGTTGAAGGAAAGGGTCATCATCGTTGAGAATAAAATGATCAAGCAGGCGAAAGACTTTAAGGCTGAAAGAGAACACTGTTATGCAGCAATGGCACAGTTAGAAAGAGATTTGCAACAACTTCAAGAACAGAATCAAGTAGCTGAACAAACTTTGGGAGCTAGGGCCCAGCAGATTGGGCGTTTGTTGCAAGAAAAGGGTGTCATAAGAGAGAGGGTCAGAAGGATCGCCGACTACATCACAATGAAATGCAGTAAGTGTGAGGATATGACTAGATCCATGTTCTTCGCCACTGTGATGACCTTTGTCCGCCAGATAATGGAAGATCTCTACCACCTCCAAGGGGATTTAGCATGTAGGCCCGTGGCGAGACCGAATGATGTCCCGAGGGCCCCAGAAGCAGTTGAGGCATTGATGTATTCATGATTTTCATTAGAGTCTGTTAGTCTGTTTGCGAGTTTTTATTTGCATCTTTCTGTTAGAGTCTGTTAGTTTGTTTTTTAGTCTGTATTTTCATCTTTCCATCAGAGTCTGTTAGTTTCTTTTTCGAATCTGTTAGTTTTTGAGTCGTTGTAATCAAATCATTTTCTTTTTGTAAAGAATTTGAAAATCCCAAAATGTTTTATTATTTATTTTTACACTTATCCCTCAGAATACGCTTGGTCTGATTCATGCGGAGTCATGATACGTAGGCAATCTCCATAGGATTCGACCATAACCAAAAGAGAAACAAAAGAGAAAAGAAAAAGGAAAAAAGAGAGAGAAAACAAGAAATGTGGAGGAAACAATGGAAAAACAAGAGAGAGAAATGAGGGAATAAAGAACAGCGAGAAATCGAACAAAGAAAAAAAAAGAGGAGATGGAAAAAGGGGGAAAAACAAAAGAAAAGAGAAGTTACGAATGGAAATAAAGAAAGCCGGGATGACGCAAGCAACCGATCAAATGCATGATAGAAATGGTTAACTGCCTAGGTGCATTACATTCCCCAATGTGCGGTTGCCTATCTGTTAAGCTCTAATCCCAACAAGTTTGTTGTTGATAATCAGTACAGGAAGGTGGTTAGTTTGTTTGGCATTCTGGAAACTCACCCATACAACACCCGGTCCAAAAACAAGTCAATCATGGCCAACCAGGAACTTGATGCGAGTGTTATCGATCCTTCGAGAGAGGTTGAAGAGTCGGATGTTAATTCGAAAGAAGAGATGTATAAGTTGAAACAACAGATGGCCGAGATGTATCAAGCATGGGTAAAAGGGCACCCACCACCACTTTACCCCGCCAACCCTGCCTTCATCCCGCCATTGGCTCAGTCTCAAGAACCTCCTACTACCGATTCATCCCCGAGCTTTCCCATTTACCAGCACTACCAGAGCACCATCTCCCAAACACCACTAGCTCCACCACCCAAACCAGTTCCATACCCTCCTCCACCAGCCACTCCTGTCTTCGTGGCACCCCATCCCGCTACACTCCACAGATCCTCCAGCGAGCCCTTAATCCAAGCCCATGATAACCAATATTACCCCTCGGATTCCACTTTCAAAGCTCCAGAACCCTATTCCTACACTCGTTTTGATCTCCCTGTGGAAACTGAGAAACCATCTAAAAATCCTGAACAGGAGGAGATGTTCAGGAAAGTTAAAAGCCTGGAACAGTCATTCAGAGACATGCTGGGGTTGGGAGGTCAGGTAAGTGTGGCTTACAAAGATCTATGTCTATTTCCAGATGTGCAATTGCCGGCAGGGTTTAAGATGCCCAAGTTTGATTTATATGATGGGCACGGTGATCCAGTGGCGCACTTGAGAGGTTTTTGTAGCAAAAGACGAGTTGCTAATGGCATATTTCAGTCAAAGTCTGAGTGGTTCAGCGCTGGAGTGGTACACCCGGCAGGATCACGGAAGGTGGTATACATGGGACGATCTAGCCCAGGCATTCGCTTATCACTTCCAGTACAATCTCGAGATTATTCCGGATCGGCTGTCCTTGACAAAGATTGAGAAAAAGGACAATGAAAGTTTCAGGGAGTATGGTTTTCGGTGGAGAGAACAGGCAGCAAGGGTTGACCCTCTAATAAAATAAAGTGAAATGGTGGATAATTTTCTGCAGGCCTTAGAACCTACTTATTACGGTCATCTGGTATCAGCTATAGGCAAATCCTTCAATGAAGTGGTGAAGATGGGCGGTATGGTAGAAGAAGGGCTCAAGAAAAACAAAATCATGAGCTATTCGGCTATTAAGGCAACCACCCAAGCCATTCAAAGTGGAACTGCAGGAGTAATTGGAAAGAAGAAAAAAGACGATGTAGCAACGATTGATTCAGGAGCTTGGTTCGGACCCAAGGGTTCACCTCACCACTATAATCAGCCTCGTCCCCACCACCAAACCTACCCTCATACTCCGTATAATCCACCCCAACACTATTACCCACCACCAGACCCCCATTTTTCTGTCCACCATGCCCAAACATACAGCCAACCTCCGGCCCATGCACAATGGCGTGCGCCAGCTCCACAAAATGCCTACCCACCCCCACGAGCCTACCAAAACCCTCCTAGACCAGCTTTCCGGGCCAATCAAGCCTTTAAGACGAGAGGTTGCAGAAGAAGAAAACCTTCACTCAATTGGGAGAGTCCTATAGTAGTTTATTCCACAGGTTGAGACAATTGGCTATGCTGAGGCCGATTGAGTCAAAATTGCCAAATCCTCCCCCGAGAAATCTTGATTATTCTGTAAGCTGTGAATATTGTTCTGGTGCTCCGGGTCATGACACGGAGAAATGCTGGCATTTGAAAAACGCTATCCAGGAGCTCATTGATACACATCGGATTGAAGTCCAAGCTCCGGAGGCGCCCAATATCAACCAGAACCCGCTGCCAACCCATCAAGAGACAAACATGATTGAGATAGTGCATAAAGAAGGGAGCCCAAAAAGCCTTCGCAGACCGTCATAATGATCCGATCCAGTGAGGTAAAGCCGGTTGAAAAACTAACAAGTGAGATGTCAGTGATCAAGTTAAGTGGGACAAACAGTGAGCCATCTGCGGTAGTCAAGAAGGGGTCCTCAAGTGATGTTGTAGGGAAACAAGAAAGAGCAAAAGTGGTTGTGTCAGGAGTGGCAAACAAGCCTGTTGTAATCGTGGAGGGTTCCCGCACAGATCCTGTCATTATCAAGCCTGTAACTCAGTTACCGATAGTCAACAGCAAGGCCATCCCGTAGAATTATGAACAGGTGACAGTGACTTACAAAGGAAAAGAAGTTAAGGAAGAAGTCTATGAGACCCATGGATTGACTCGCTCGGGGAGATGCTTTGCCCCCGAGGATTTAAGAAAAGCTAAAACCTCCAAAGATAACCCAGTGCTGGTGAAGAAAGTTGTGACCGAAGAAGAGACAGAAGAGTTTTTGAGAAAGATGAAAGTGCAAGACTATTCCATTGTGGGGCAGTTGAGGAAGACGCCTACTCAGATTTCACTGTTGTCATTGTTAATCCATTCAGACGAGCACCGTCGGGCCTTGATGAAAATCCTGAACGAGGCCCACGTTCCTGACAAAATCTGAGCAAACCATTTGGAAAAGATAGCTCACAAGATATTTGAGGTAAAAATAGTCACTTTTTCTGATGATGAGTTACCCGCGGAGGGTACTCACACTACAACAAATTAGGCCTTTGACCACACATGAAAAGTGTGGCCTAAACTATCAGAAAGTGTGGCTTTTGATCAAAGGCCACACTTTTCGACCTAAGGCAACACTTTTCAAGGGGTGGCCTAAGCAAGCATAACCTTTGACCTAAGGTAACGCTTTTCATGAGGCAAAGGCTACGCTTACTTATGGCCACTCTTTTGATGTCCTAAAGCTACACTTCTGAAATGGAACCTTTAATACCTGATAGGCCACACTTTTTAAGTGTGGCTCCTAAAACTACAATTCTGAAGTGTTGCCTATGTTACTATGCTTTAATATTATGATATATATATATATATATATATATATATATATATATATATATATATATATATATATATATATATATGAGGTCATTAATGATGTATAATGATATCAAGTACTTTACTAACTAATAGATAAAAAGATTGTTTCAAACACAAACATGCGATGAACTTCGAAAAAAGGAATATATTTCATGTAATACATCAACTAATAAAGACAATCACTTCAAGCTACGTATTTAATGTGAATTTTACAAAATAAAATATATTCATATGTATCATGAAAGATACATATCCTAGTTGTCCAAAAGTCTTTCTCATTAACTTCAAATGGTCAAATCGACTTTTGGCCACCATTTTCAATTGCATCGCAGAATTTTCCTACACATCAAAATGAAGTTAAATATTAGATAGAAACCAATAGAGTGCAGACGTAAGTGAGAATATTTTACATGTATTTTTCATACAAAATGAATAGTAATGAAAATCATCATCTGAACTGATAATAAATGGCTACAAAGGCCCATAAAACTACAAGTGAGCAATATTTTCATAACTGCAAGTTACACACCAGGAGCACTTGCCAAAATGTTGCATTGGTGGTAACAGGAGATCAGTAAAATACAATAAAATAAAATACATATAATCATATTAGAAGCAAGGTTATGTTTCTATTTTTTTATGGTGACTTAAAAACAGAAACTTTTGGCCAAAAAGTGAACAGGTTTAAGAAAAGGATATATTAGGGTGGTCACCAAAGAGAAAAGTTGTGATAATCAGAAATATCAATGGCTTACATTCTTAAGGTAATTCTAGTCACCCTACCTAGAGAACATAATAATTTTGGGAAGCAAGTTAAGGAGAAAAGCAAACAACATTTCCTGTTGATTTGTCTATGCTCTATGCTTAGAATATTACTGCTCCTCTTCCCAAAAAAATACCACCATCTCTAGCTCTATGTCCTAGCAGCAGCACCAAGTGGAAACCCCTTGTAATCATTAGAAGGAGATAAAAATGGTGATAACATTGCATAAAAGAGAAGTCCCCATCCAAATAATAGTACTAACATCTTTATTTAGCAGGTACAAATAATAAACAATAAATAAGTAAGAATTGGACTATAAGTTTGAACCAGAGGAATGTGGAAGATTTTGGTGTCACAACTTGTGTGTTACTTGCATCATTAGTACAAGGATAGGGTAGCTAACGCACATCTAAATAACATATGTGAAGTTATAAATTATAAGTACCTTGAATGATTCTATTGTTACTCCAGCTTGAGTAATACTAGAGAAAACCCCTTTGCTGTCGAGGTCATCGTTCTTCATTGACACAACAAACCTATAAAATAAAGGATTAAATCAGAAACGTTATTGGATGCATTTCTTTATTTATCCAGAAACAGAGAAAAGAGAACATTTCGGCACATGTCATTTTTCATTCTCTCGCACATGATATGAGAATTTTTCAACTATAACACTAATAAATAATTATATTAGCACAAGTCTGACATTAGATTTCAATCACTACATACTGCAGAAAGGTGTAAGTTGAATCACATTTTCTTGTCGGTAAATCACTGCAAAATATGATAGAAAACAAGAAATTCTTGGATCATTTATTCTTGTAGAAATTTCAAAAGAACTAGGGATAGACATAAGATAATCTTGATACTTAACATAGTACAGATGTTAGATAGCTTACCTATGTCTGTACTATAATTGTGGGATTCCATAATTTTCACGAAATACAGTTCATTATACTTATGTTGCCCCGAGGCACTATGAACTGTCAAATTGACTTTACCTGCAAATTCAAAAATATAACGTCAGTAATTAGATGTTTAATGAGTAGTGTCATAACAATATTGTCTTTTGTTATCCAACAAAGTGAAATCAGTGTATGATTCTACTTACCATGTCTGGTATTAATACTGGCTCCCCTAAGCTTAATACTATAAAAAGAAAAAGTAACTGTTAGGCATGAGTGAGTTCTCAAGTTTAGTATTGTATTGAACCAGCGAGGTCAATTGACCATTAGTAGATGTCTTATCATACACAAAGAACAGCAGCACAAGATACATCGGAAAAATATTCCTGTGCACATTATCTTTGACAAACATGTTTATATCCCTGTATATAGAGCATATTTATGAAAAACATGATTATCATTTAGGTGGGAGCCTGATGATATTTGAAAATCGAATACTGGCTAAAATAGAGTACGGTAATAGGTAGGTAATTTTACCACATTAAGAACAAATTCACTTAAGACACATACAGAGTAATTTTTACATAAAGAGAGACAATCGCAAAGTTACACTAAAGAAGGTTTTTGTTCATTAGGGGAGGGGGGAGGTCGGTAATTTCTTCAGTCTATTACTAAGCTTTAATGAGACATGAAAGCAAGCCACCATGCTTTAATAGAAATTAGTAATAGTATGTAGTTTCTTTGCTTATTAAATATTGTAAAATATTAAACATAAAATTGAAAAAGAATAAGGTTGCAGTCTACATATTAAGACATGGCTATGGAGAGGAAATGATAGAATAGCATGAAAATATGGAATGACAAACTCAACAGTATTTAGAGCTTCTAAGCAATAGAACAGAAGCTCAAGTTTCATAAAAGGACTTTAAGGGTAGTATAAGTAAGACATAGAGAAAATCTAGAAATAAGAAATTAAATCATGTAATGAAGGATCATGAAGCTGCCTTCACTTCTTTTTCATTTAGAAGCTTACTTACAAGTTAAAAGATATTCTATTTGCTGCCACTTTGTTCAGTTTGTTTATCCTCTCACTAAAATTATATAATTTCCTATACCACACTTATTGATTCACTATATCAAATCCAAGCTTGTAATTATTTGGCCAAATATCTCCTGATCCAATTAAAAATTTTGCGTGGTTAAAAATTATTCTAGTTCTTCAATAAAAAACAGAAGCTTTTAGTTTTATTAAGTCAATCAAGTTGAGTTCCATCAAAAAATTCTGGTGTAACTAAGTTTGTGAGTTCCGATCATTTTATCATTCAAGTGGACATTTCAAATACCCTTGGCGTTCAATAAAAGTAGACAAATGTAGATGAATCATCTTTGACGATTAAGCTAGTATAACAAAATCCTAATATAACAGTTTCAAGCCTCTCATGCTAAACGGCTAAACCTACAAAAATTCTATGCATACACAGATACATCAAAAAACCTGCAACTCGTTTAACCAAGTTTTCCCAATCTATAACAAAATGACAGTATAAAAAATTCCCTGAAAAATCCAATTACTATGTATTTAGAAAAAAATCTAAATTCCAGAATTTTGTTAGTTAAATTCAAATACTGAATAAAAGTAAAGTATACATATATATATGTAAAAATTGAGTACTAACTTGAAAAAACCCTATGTTGGTCTCAAAAGAAATTGATAAAGCCCGAATGCCAAATCTTTCTTGTTGTTTGGAGAAATAGTGTCACGACCCAGATCCACTACGGGTCGTGATGGCGCCGGACACCGCTGTCAGGCAAGCCAACTAAATCACCAATTAAATTCTCTTTTTATAACTTTGGAAAACCTAGGAGTTTTACTTCCATTTTTCATATATAAAAGAATCTCTGTTTCAATTCAAATGAAGAAATTAACTATTAATACACGTCTTCAAAGAAAAATCATCCTAGAACCCGGTGTCACAAGTACATGAGCAACTACTGATAAGGAAAATATAATACAAATGTCTGTCCGAAATACAGTGGACAGAGAATCAATAAATAAAGTACTCGAAGGGCACTACTCTAGCTGCGGGTCGTCTCGAACGATGCGGCTCACCAAGTCCTCAAATCATCCGTGTTGCTACCTAAAGTAACATATACCTGTGCAACAAAATGCACAGAAGTGTAGTATGAGTACGTAATCAACGTGTACTCAGTGAGTATCCCGCCTAACCTCGAAGAGGTAGAGACGAGATGGTCAACCTGGACACTCACTAGCGGTCCAATAATAATATATTAAATGTGTGTGGAAATCATGGATTCATATAACACATTCTAATTCACAAAGCTGTAAGACAGGTAAACACCTTTTAACAGTCAGCAAAGGATTTTCAAGATTTAAATTTTCCTCATTTAATGAGTTCATCTCAAGCCATGAAAGGCAATGTCATCATTTAAGATTCCTCATGCATCAATATACAAAAGATATCATGCGCAAATCATACCGAGGCGATGGCCCGATCCAACAGAAAGTAAATGTGCACTTGCCGAGGGTCGACGACGCGCCTATAGATGCATCTATTTAATCTGCCGAGGCGTTCGGCCCGTTCCAAAATAAACACACACAGACAAACAGTCAGTCATGAAGTCCACATAGAGCAATTGTCCAAGGAAGGCCAATTCTCTTTAATAGTTTGAGAAAACGAAGCTTAAGTCTTTTAGAAATCCTTTTATAAATTTAATGTGATTTAAGCAATTCAAACCCTCAAAGGGGTTCACAATAAATCCAAATATAGCATGCTCAATCAATCAAGTAAGAACTTATCAGGGAGTGGTTATCGATATATACATATATATATCAATTCCTCTTTTAACAGAATTTTACAAGTAAGGGTAAATCTCTTTAGAAATTCATTTACAAATTCCATGTGACACAAGCAATTCGAGCTATCCAAGAATTTACAATTAATTCAAGTATTCATGCTTTTGGGTCCTAGCTACCCGGACAATAGCAAATAGTAGCTACGCACGGACTCTCGTCACCTCGTGCGTACGTAGCCCCCACAAATAGGAGCACATAACCAATTTAACTCACCTATGGGGAAATTTCCCCCTCACAAGATTAGAAAGGAGACTCACCTCGCTCCGAAGACTCATAACCGGCGTTCTACATTCTTCCGAAGGCTTGAACCGACGCACAATGCACCAAAGCTAGCCAATTAACGACAAACTAATGAGAACATGCTCAAATGCTTGTTAGAAATTCAAATTATACAGATTCCCAACTCCGCTTAGTGAAATGACCAAAATACCCTCGGGCCTACGTGCCCGGATTTCGAAATTTCTCGAAGAAAAAGGTTACCCATGACCTTAGGAACTCAAATATGTGATTTTCTCCTAATTCCATACTCAAAATCGTGGTCAAATTCGAAGAAATGTAAATTCCTAGGTTTTCCACCAAAACCCCAAATTTCCATAATTTCCTTGCCTAAATCCATGTATAAACCTTGTATTTAACTCAAAGCTAGCATAAATTACTTACCTCATGACAAGTGACGAAAATGGCATCTCCAAGCTGCTCCCCATCGACTCCAATGGAAGAAAAATGGGGTTGAAATGAACTCAACCCCGAACTTAAAACATCTAACTGCCCCAGCTGCTTCCGCTTCTGCGGAAAAGTTCCGCTTCTGCGGATGTCGCTTCTGCGACTTCTCGCCGCTTCTGCGGCTTTGGGCAAAAGGAAGCTGACCGCTTCTGCGGTTTGGGGGCCGCTTAAGCGGAACCGCTTCTGCGGTCCCTGGGCCGCTTCTGCGGTTTCCTTGGACCTGGCCCCCTTCCGTTTCTGCGAGCTTTTGACCGCATCTGCGGTCCCGCTTCTGCGGTCCCGCTTCTGCGGTCCATGAACCGCAGATGCGGTTATGACAGAAGCAGCAAATCTCAAGCCTTCCCAAATTCCATTTTTGATCCGTTAACCACCCGGAATCCACCCGAGGCCCCTGGGACCCCGACCAATCATACCAACCAATCCCAAAATGCATTACGGACTTGCTCGAGGCCTCAAATCACATCAAACAACGCTAAAATCATGAATCAACCGCCAATCCAAGCTTTATGAACTTTAGAACTTCCAACTTCTACTTTCGATGCTTAAACCTGTCGAATCATGTCCGATTGACCTCAAATTTTGCACGCAAGTCATATTTGACATTACGGACCTACTGCAACTTCCGGAATCGGATTCCGACCCCGATATCAAAAAGTCAACCTCCGGTCAAACTTCTCAAAAGCCTTCAAATTTCTATCTTTAGCCAAATGGCTCCAAAATGACCTATGGACCTCAGAATTCACTTCCGATCGCGCTTCCAACTCCAGAATCACATACGGAGCTATACGCAGTCTCGGAATCCCAAACGGACATTGATGACATTAAAATGCACTTCAAACCAAACTTATGAAATTTCTTCTAAAATGCTAACTTCCACAATAGGCGCCAAAACGCTCCCAGGTTATCCAAAACCTGAACCGGGCATATGCCCAAGCCCGGAATCATCATACGAACCTGCTGGAACCTTCAGATCCTGATTCCGAGGTCGTTTACTCAAAAATCCAATCCTAGTTCATTCTTTCAACTGCAAGCTTCCCAAATGATAATTCTCTTTCTAAATCAACTCTAAACTTCCCGGAACTTAATTCCGACCACACGTACAAGTCATAATACTCGAAATGAAGCTGTTCATGGCCTCCGACTGCTGAACGGAGCGCTAGGACTAAAAACGACCGGTCGGGTCGTTACAAATAGAGTGACATAACTCAAACCTTAGGAGAAATCAAGTGAAGCAAATCAGAGCTTCTGCTTCTGAAGAGCATCGCCGACTGGGTGCAATCTTTTTTCTTTTCCTTTTATTGATGAAGATTTGGTGCAATCGACTATCTGATTTTGGAAAAATCAAGCGAAGAAGTTTTATGGGTTTCACACCCTAGAGAAGGAGTAAAAGTTCAGACTTTAGTGGAAATTTTTAGAGGGAATAATGTAAATGAAAAAAATTTTGTGCGAAATATTTTTTACTTTAGACCACGTTTGTACCGGGTTGCTTTTAAAGTACCAAAAATAACGCTCGTAAACCGTTGCGTAATATCTGAATAAGCATTCTCAAATTTTTTAATATTGGGCAACGCTTACACTGTGTAGTCGTTGTACACAAGGAGCACACTTTATGAGTTCCGCCTAATCTCTGTTGCCAAAAGC